TCTATACTTTAAATAACTATCATGTTGGTAAAATACTAGTAATAGCTTAAAAATGTATTTTTAAAATCAAAACTCTTGTTGGTAGACGGTAGTGAATAGTGATGTACCTAAATACGCCCCTGGTGATGTTTAAAAATATATTCTTTTGTTAAATTTTTTATAATCGCAATAATATTTTTGTGAATAAACAAGATGAGTGTTCAAAAATAAGCGGACGATTCAAAAGTTAAGCACTTATTTTGTATTGAATAATATTGTAAAATATCTAGAAAATATTTCGTATAGTTATTTTTCATCGGAAACAAATAATACTGAACAAATTGATCAGACAAAAATAAAAAAAATAAATACTATAAACCACTTCACTCGGAATTTAAATAAAAATATAGCTGCATAAATTGTATTGTTTCAAATGATTTTTCATAAAAATGTACTATATTTCCATGAAACAATTACCTGAAATATGGCCGGCCTATGTTATAACCTCGTTTAAAAACTCACTATTTTCGCTCCACTTACACTTATTTTAATATAAAACAGTTTCACAAAATTTAATAATAAAATCTAGAAGGGGCTCGGTTTTATCGGTCATTGAGTGCACTTGTCCGTCGCTCGAGTTATTTGGGGAATCGTAAGTTCCTACACGAGAGTAGCAGGTAAAAAATTACATACGTTAGTTTTTACAAATGTGATGTGTTAATTCCTACTGGTGCTCTAACCGAGCTTGGCCACACGGTTAGACATGTAAAAAATATCAAACAGAACAAATCTTCATTGCTGTTATTTTTTTGTATACCAAAAGTAATAATTCGGATATTTTCAATATTACTAAGCTATTGTATATCTCCGTCGTGGTTGAAAAACCATAAAAGTTTCACATCGATCCGCCTTAATGCCATAACTGTCAGGTTTACGATCACACTAAAACATTATGTTCGTAAAAATTTCGCTTTATCAAATGTGGTGATGAACACCTATCGGAAAAGTGTTCCAGAGACAGTAGTCTTCCTGTTAAATGCGCACTCTGCGCAGTTGCTCATACATCTTCTTACAAAAGCTACCCAGTAAAATCATGTCACCTTATTTAAAAAATACAAGTTGAAAATAAAATCCGTTCCCTTTCTAGACCAGCCAAGTCCGCACATTCCGAGAACCACTGCAGTTCCAAACAACACAGTACCTACGCCACCATCATAGCAAATCAACCACCAAATGATCCATCTGAAAAATTATCCAAACTTATCAGTGAAATTTCAAACACCTCACGTCCATTAGTTAAGCTACTTAAAACGATTTTAGATAAACTAAACTCTACCTTATCTACTCTCCAATAATCTAAAACACCATTATATCAGCTTAAAAAATCTACTTATCTTTATCTTATATGATTTATGAACCTATAATACTATTTTATTAATACTATCTATATCTTTGTGCTTATATAATATTTTGACTGTTGCAATATGTTCAATTTTCAATTATATTAATCTTATTAAATTTTTAGTTGTTAAACATTCATTGTTTTAACTAATAGCTATCAAATACTAATAATAAAAAAAAAAAATCTAGAGTGAATATTCTAATAATTAATTGTATATATTTGCCAACCAGTTTATTATTATATATATACATACTTTTGTTTATTTAAACGTTGATAAAATATTTTATTAAGTTGCATAATAAGCATAAAAATTCAATACTGTAAAGATTTTAGGTTGTATTAGTGGAAATATTGAAGGAATAATTAATTTAAACTATAATTTATGAACTACCTATTTGGTTTTTGTACAAGTATATAAGTAAAACTTGATAATATCTTAAAATAGTTAGTTTTTATTCGAAATAAGCAAAAAAAAAAAAATATAAATATAAAAAAATAAAAATATTTTACATAGAATGCGTTTAAAATTTAAATCAATTTATTACATGTTTCGAGTACTTGATATAAAATACTCGGTTTCTATTTTTTAACTTACCAAGACAATTTTTTTTTGGATATACTGTTCACAAAATTTACAATTATATTACATTTTTTAGATTCCTAAATCATATTAGAATATACATCAATGTTATTACACAATAAATGATATTATAACAATAAAAAACGTTTCATGAAATTACTATCTATGTAACTTTTAGATTTCCATATATAATATAAAGCTAAAAAAATGACAACAATTCAAAATCAATTCATAATTGGTGAATTTAAATACTGATAAAGTAGTTATCACAATTATACTATTATTAAATTAACCAAAATTGAATGTTAACCTTTTTCAGTGTTTAACTCCATGGAACTATTAGAATTAAATTTAAAATATTTCAAAGTTGATATATTTGGTTAGACATTTAATGGATTTGATGGTTATAATAGTTAGAAATAAATGATGAACAAAATAAATAAATTGTTATCTTGACATAAAAAAAAAAAACCCATGAATATAAATAAATTGTTTTTTCCTAATGAAAAATGATAGATATTAATTTACCGTACCATTATGATTCACTAAATCGTATCATGTGTTCCGTATTAAAATATTTAAAATACTAACCACTGAAAATGCTTGAAAAAATAATTTAGGATTTTTGTTTTATAAACAATACGTTTATTATGAAATGATAAAAATAGATCTGTGTTATTGTAATTTGAAAGCTATACTTAATTTAAAAGACTCTATATTTAGTTTAAACATTATGGTGTTTTAATATAATTAGTTACTTTGATTAATGTTCTTCGTTAAGTTGTTGACGTCTATAACGAAAAGTAGGAATTTTTTGTCGCATATTTATCATATAACCAGCATAATGGATATAACAAAATCAAAGGCGTGTAAGGAAATGTATCTTTTTTTTTTTTTTACTAACACTACAACTAGTACAACAGCCATTACGATATTACTGTTGTCTATATGTCACTTGTAAATACAGCGTTCGAAAATAATAATAAGCAGTACATATGTCAGATTCCTGTAAAACCGAATTGAATTTGTATTTACTGTCGAAACCAACGATACAATATGGCGTTTGGGGCGTGTGCATTAAACTTAAACTTTAGATAAATCATTGAAATTTCAGAAACAGATGTTATACGTCCGTGTATAATATATATATTTTATGGTGGGTACCGCATATTATTTTGTTTGGAAACGCCAAAGTGGCAGTATGGCAGTGTTTGCATGGCAGAAGATGGAAATCCAGTATGCACAGTATATTATAATCAACTCGTAAGCTTTTGGGGTTATTTTGCCATTTCAGTTTGAAGTCAGGTAAAAGGGTTTAAGTTAATGAAGAAGACATCGACCCGGGTGACCCATGAATTCATTATTAACCTTACTAATATCGGTGGCTAGTCACCGGAGCAGTTCGATATCGGCGGCGGTGGCGACGGCGTGGCGCGGCGATGCAAAGCTAAAGTAATGCATTAAAGTGGAGAAGGGTGGGAGGCAAAGTTCCGAGTCCTGTATACAACAAGCTCACCCGCTGTACGATGGACGATAGGCAATGAAAAGGTCACTACTACTATACATAGAGGACGGGTCTATATTGCTGGGGACGGTCGAGAGCACTTGAGCTGTTTGAGAAATTGATTCGGCAATAAATAGAACTCGGCCAAATGAACTAAACTCGAGTTGTTTTCACTCGCCTGTTCTACCCGTCTAAGGTAACTTAACAGCGATCGGTCACGTTATAGTGGAATCCCACGTTGTAAACAAATAAGACTTCAACATTGAATATTTGTCTTTAACTGAGGGCAAAATGTTTGGACAACTGATCAATAGCAATACTATATCGTTTCGATCATCGAATCCGAAAAAAAACAACGATATTAATTTATTCGTTCTCAGTGTAATATGAATACAATAATATTAATTTAATTATAAATAACGCAACCATTATTTAAACACTATAAAAAACTGATTTTTTTTCCTATATGGCTGATCAATTATACATTTATTATACTAGGTAAACATTACGTAACAGTAAATTATTTTTCAAAAGATAATGATTAACTAATGCTTTTATTATTTTTTATCTCTGTGATTTATTTGATTCAATTCAAAATAGATATATTTTTAGTAACATATCAAATTTAATATGATTTTATAGTTTAATTCTACTATGCACAGAAATAAAAAAAATAAATTATCAATATTATAATAATCATTTATTCAAATTTTAATTGTAATGAAAAACATAGACTTACTCGTAAGGATATTAATGTTTTGGAATTAAAACTATTTATACTAATCAAAAATCATTAAATTCGCTTTTCTTGTACGTGTTTCAATGAATATATTATAACAGAAATAGCCTCTAAGATTGCGTTACTAAGAGGAAATCGTTTTCACGATTCTGTTTACCTGGAAACTTTGATACAATAATGCTTGTTGACATTTGCATGTCACCTTAAAATGTGTTTATTAATGTTTAAGTTTCTGCTCAAGAGTCATTCGAGAGGATTCTTCATTAAGTCTGTTGAAAAGAAAATGTGATAAACATAATCAAAATAGTTAAAATATTCCAGATATTTTATAACATCATTATTTATTTGTTATTTATAGTATACTATGCCTAAATAAAAATATAATTTTTATTTAGCCTTGATTAATTATTAATTCATTATGAATAAATGCATAATAATTCTATTAAATAGAACAATTTACAGAGTTATTTTATAAATAGGTAAGCCTACTGTAATATATTTTAATTTTTATAATATATATTTTACAAAATACGGATTATATTATTAAACAGCTGTAGATATTTATAATTTAAATAGTGTATATGTAAATGAACAAAATGCACATAATGTTCTAGCCTGTCACATATCACATTGGTATCTATTGAAAATATAAATTTATTTAAGTTTCATATTATTTTTAATATAACAATAATAACAGTAATATTAATTATAGAATTTTATAGTATTTGGTTGTAGAATTGTATATTATAATTGGTACTTGTACAACAATTTAATTTGATTATTTTTTTTTAATTAGTTCAAGATCAAATATTTGACGATATTGCGCAGGATAATTACATTAATCATGGTGAGTTATTTTTATGTTATAATATAGATTATATATCATAATAATTATTTATTGTATTCATAGATATTTCTCATATAAGTGACTCTGATCCTGATGAAGAACCTACACAAACTGTGCGAAATACTGGACGTCCTAGAAAAACACCTCAACAAGATGATAATCCTAGACAGTGGAGAGATGACGACTCAGTAATTAATTCATATATATTTAATCCTGACAATGGAGATTACAGTATTAACCCTGATTTGTACGACACATTATATGATGGTTCTCCTATTGATTTTTATCACTTAATAATAGATCAAAATATTATAAATAATATTGTCATTGAAACCAATAAGTATGCTGCACAGCAAATAGCCAGCAAAGTTATTTCTCCACATTCACGTCTTAATAAGTGGTATGATACTAAGGAAAGTGAAATTAAATGTTTTTTAGGCCTTTTAATGTGGACTGGTTTAGTTTCTCTACCTTCCTATGATTTATATTGGAGTACTTCAGCCATTTTTAAAACTGAATTTAGTATGTTTATGAGTAGGAATAGGTTTGAAATTTTATTGCAAATGATTCATTTTGCAGATAACAGTCAGGCAGATCCAAATAACCGTTTGTATAAATTAGGAAGTGTAATAAATGATGTAATGACCAACTCAAATACTTGTATGCAGCCATATGATAGTTTTTGTATTGATGAGTCCTTGATTAAATTTATGGGTAGATTGTCATTCAAACAATACATAAAGAACAAAAAAAGTAGATTCGGTATTAAACTATTCAAACTTTGTATTTCTCCATGTTATACACTAGCAATCAAAGTTTATGCTGGTAAAGAGGCCAATGCAGAACTAAATGTAGGCTCAAAAATAGTACTTGAGTTATCTGAACCATACTTAGATTGTGGGAGAACTCTTTATGTTGATAACTGGTATACTAGTATTGAACTAGCCGAGTCACTAAATGATAGGCAAACACATTTGGTTGGAACCTTGAGGGCAAACAGGAAATCTAATCCAAAAGATGTCACACAAAAAAAATTAAAAAGGGGTGAAGTTATTTCAATGCGAAGCTCTTCAAATATTTTAGTTCTTAAATGGAAGGATAAACGTGATCTGTACATGTTATCTACAAAACATAATAGTGAAATGATATCAATTGATCACCATGGTAAATATATTAAGAAACCTAAAGTCGTAATAGATTATAACTTAGGTAAATCACCAATTGAGTTCTTATTCCAACCCATTGCGCCGCAGTATTAAATGGTATAAAAAGGTTGTCTTAGATACATTGCTAAATATTGGAGTTGTAAATTCACTTGTTTTATTTAATAAAGTAACTAATTCTAAGATGACAATTACTGCTTTTCGGACAATTTTAGTAGAAAACTTGGTAAAAACAAATGATATAATGCATCCAGAAGTAACTATGAACCATGATTTTGTTAAAGCTGGAAGAAGTAGATGTTTTAAGTGCTATAACAAAATGGTATCTGAAAAGGGTAGGACATATGCACAAAATCATTCAACAAAAGTGTATACTAAATGTTTAGCTTGTAACAAATATTACTGCCAAATGTGTTTCATGAGAGATCATAAAATTAAAAAATAATATTTTTAATATTATTAAGACTAGACAGTTTGTCCATAGTTAATTAATAGGTACTCAAAAAAAAGATAATTTTTGAGTTTTTTTTATTGCAAGTGATATTATTATTATAATAAATGTTGAAAAGTAATTCAATTTTCCAGACATGAATTTTCTTAAAAAAATGTTAAATATTTGTTATTTCCTAAGTCGTTTTTTCTCCTAAAAAGATATTGTAAATGGTGACTAGTCAGTTAACAGTCAATTTTTTATTTTAAACATAATATTATGTGATACATTAGAAAAAAAAGACTTATGTTTGTTATTACTTATTACCTATGTTATTTTATTATATGATGTTAATCATTTTTATATTAGTTTTAAGTTTTTTTATTATGTGATAATTAATTATTATTATAAAATGTGTGAAATATTTCAATATTCTTAGACATGTTACTAAGTTCTAATATTATATTTTGTTCAAAAGGTGATCAATTTATGTTGTTATTTTAAAATTTGTTTTTTTAAATAAATAAATATTCTATTATAAATATTCCAATTTGTAAGTGTTTCAAAAATTATATCATACTACACATTATTATTAATAGATAAGTACTATAAAGATTTGATGAATTGAGGGGTCAATTTGGATCTCACTTTGTATGGATATAAAACTAATTAAAAACTGAAAGTGCCACCCACGCCATGAGATCCTATTTTGGATCTCATCCATAAACAATAAAATAACACTTGGAAAACATTTAAAATAAATTTGAAAAGATATCTACAAATTTTGAAATAGACAGGTGAATTTTTTTTCCAAATTTTTTTTTTGAACAATTTAACAAAAAAACCTTGGCAGCGTGGATACGGAGAGGTGAGATCCAGTATGGGATCTCATGGCAGTCAACCTGTTAATCTTAAATTTTATATATACTATAACTAACGAAAACGTATATCTGTATAAAATGTAATAAAAACAATTAAAAGAATGTTTACAATTATAGCTAATAACATAATAGTGTTTTATTTTATGATGAGTAATTAGGTTGTGTTTTACTAAATTTAATACGTGGGGTATTTATATTATTCTTTAAACTATTTATTTGATATTAAATCTGAATAACCTATTTTATGTAATTTTATTTATATTTTATATCCATACATTTTTAAGTATTGTCTATTTAGATTTGATATTCATCATGAAGATAAAAATATTTTTAGGTACCGTAAAAATTGTTTTGAATGTGAATAATTCACATATAATCATTATATATTATATTTATTAGTCGTTCTAAGATAAACTTAAAAAAGCAAATCGTAATAATTAGTTTTATAATTATTATTTAAATCTTTATTTTTTTATAACTTATGTAAATTTTTATCAAAGAATATTAAACTAAATTAATAATAACACTAAAAAAATATGTAAATTATAAAAAACCATCGTTATGTATCAATAATAAGAATGATAAAAAGTATAAACGTAGTTTAGTAGAATATAAACAAATATATTGTCAATTTCTTGGTGTATAACGGAATTCTTAAAATTTACGTAAACTTAACATTATTTTTATATATTTGCTGTGGTATCATTTCATTACTTATAATTTATAAAATATGTTTTAATTAATAAACAAATATTTATATTATTATTTTGATGATATATTTTAAGAAGTTCATCAAAAATTGAACATACAATCAGCCTTACTATCAATTAAATAATATTTGTTTTATTTAAACTGTTTTCAATTTAAACTATAAGTGTAATTTAGTTTATTAAAAATGCATTAGTGGCTAATTTAAAAATAGTTTCATGATATGAACATAAAGTAAAATAAATAAACTTATGTTGCATAATATAACTATTTTATAAATTGTAATTTATGTATTTCATAAGCATATAGTATAATTGATTATATATCGAATTAAACAAATATTTCATATTTTAATATTGTTACAAAATCTTTTTACACTTAATTAATAGACCAATGCAGATTCTTTTTATTTTTGTTTTTTTTTTCTTACACACACCACAATACTCAATTAAATACCAGTGATTCTAAATTGTCTTGTGTATATCATGAAATACTAATCAAGGGATTTGTCAAATATTATATTAATTATTTTCTATTATACACCTAATGTGAGTTGAAATTAATACTTGTCAATAGAAATTATTATTCTAATGCAATATTATAGATGCATATCTACATTGATGATATTATATTAGGTAATAAAATAGTAATTAATAAAATTAAAATTCCATCAAAGGGGCTTTTATTATTAAAATTCTGTACTGGCCCATGCAAAAAATATACCATAAAAGAGCACTATTATTATACCATACATCAGTATTTAGTTAGTAAAAATATAACCTGTTTGTGATACTCACATAAATAGGTACGAAATTTAATACCGTGGATCTGGTAACGCAATAAAAAAAATCCAATTGAATAATAAAAATAAACTTAAAAATGAAATTTGTTGCGAGGTATTCGTTATTAATTTTTAGACCTATTGTAAATTTGGATATTGCATCATAATATTATTATATACCAATGTAAAATAACCGTATTTATAAAAGTGGCTGTTAAAAATTATTTTATATTATTAGAATTATTATTATTAAAAAATTATGCTTATAATACCTATATTATATTCTTTAATTTTATAATAAGAAGTGTTTATATTGTAAAAATAATTAATATCAAATCTTTGATACCGAACTGACATAAAATATGTTTTATACTTCAAAGAGTACTTATTTTAGTAACTTGCCAAATATAGATAATACGCGTATTAAGGTTATTAGTTTCATTAAGAAACTTATTTTAAAAAGAATAAATTATTTTTTACCAAAATCTTTATAGAATAAAAAAATGCTTCTATTGGAGATGACTAAATTCATAGACTTAAGTTTAATAAATACACTTAATTTTATCATTAGTTACTAGACTAAACATTAACTCATTTTAAATACCTATACTTTTAAAAATCTTGTTTGCGAGTTATTTCACGTGAAACGGTAATAGTTAAGACAACAGACCACAGTAGTAAAACTCGTAGTGACGCACATGATATTATAATTTAAAAAAATTGTCAAAAACATTGAATTAAAATATCGATTTAGATACTATCATATAAATAAATAGATGATACATATTATTACGTATATATTACACTTTGATTTTTAATAATATTCCATTTAAGCTGTAAAAATAACTTTGGGTGATAGTATTGTTATGAATTGCCATTTTTACAGAGTTTTTAATGTACTTATCTTAAACTCAAATATTTTAGCTTGAGGCTGTTTTGACATAAATGTTTCAGATTATATTAAAATGAATGTGTTAATAGCTGTTAACCAGGTGATAGTCAGATACGTATTTTATCGGTATCTTAGCTCGGTAATCTATATTTTTAACTTAATATTTAGTAACATTTTTTTTTTTTTTCTATCGTGCGATAAGTTTATTGTTTGTTGTTCTTGAGTATCACTCTTTAGATGCGGAATGTCGTAGTAATTATTTAAATCGTTTATATAAACAGTAAGTTTTACATTTATTTAAAGTGTCAAAGTAAATTAAATCCATACAAGAACAAGATGTCTTAGTGAATAATGATTATATGTATTTGATGTTTTAAGTACTATAGTGGATAACGGCGTTTTTTCTGTTGCCGAAATAAAAACTGAAGTAGAATATTATAACTGACATTTTTTTAAATCAAACGATTTTTAAAAAGTCATTTGCACCAAAATTAATTCACGTCAAAATGGTTTCACGCCAAAATTTTCTAAATCCTAAACGTGTTGTTTAATATATTATGAGTAAAATATATCTTATTCATATACAAGTATATGCAGTGAACTCAAATTAATTAATTTACAATAATTATAATATATTCATTATTTATTATGATAATAATTAATGATTTGTATATGCAATATTTACTAAATACTAATTAATATTTACAGTTATTTTTAATTTAATATTTTTAAAATTAAAATTTAATTTTATTTGATAGCTGAATATGATATCATAATCTGGCGAACACAGTTTACTTATTCTCTAAAAAATCAGCCACAGTATTAAAAAGTTTTTTGTTGTAATTTATAACCCTAAAATTAATTATATTTTTAAAAGTATACTTAATTCTCAATAAGCTAGTGATAATTCCTTAGCGACTTTAAGTTTAATTAATAAAGTTACTAATCTTCATGGAATGTGTTTACTGTTTATTCTAACTGAACGAATATATTTTAATAAATTTAGCCAAAGTTGTAACAATATTCTCGTTAGAAATTATAATCGTGGAAGAAAACTAAGTATGTCCTTAACTTTCAACTTTTGTACAAACCATTAATGGATCCTACTTTTCATTTATTATATTATAATAGAATTTTTTTTTTTTTTAATTAAAATGCACATAATAGTTATAAACTACTATTGTCTTAAGGATGGTTGATAAAATACAGTTGTACATAATATATACATATTTTAGTATTATTTTTGAATAATGTATAATTAAACTTATTTCGTCGAAGAAAGTAGTAACCTACTTAAATATTATTAGTTTTAATGAAAATAAAAAATAATAATTTTGTTTGTGTAAACTATTCATCTAAAAACCAATTACGATAGATATCTAAGCCCTTAATAACAATTCCTAT